TGTGCCAGATATGCTAACCATTCATATGTACCTTCATGCTTTCGCCACCATTCCAGAGGACCTGTTTCAATGGCAATGATGCTTGTTAAAAAAATAATGCATTAAATTTGTGACTGAACTCCTTGAGGGAGAATTGTATGTCTCCTGCTCTGTTTTACCTGCATTCTGCCATATATTTCATATTATAGCAGTCTCAGATGATGACCCAGCACACATTCATTTTAAGAACACTTTCACTGCAGATTTCACAAAACGCAAAGAAAGTACCTATGTGAGATTTCTAAAGATAGCTAAAGCACTTGACCCAAGGTTTAAGAATCTGAAGTACCTTCCAAAATCTGAGAGGAACAAGGTATGGAGCATGTTTTCAGAAGTCTTAAAAGAGCAACACTCTGATGCGGAAACTACAGAACCCAAACCACCAAAAAAGAAAATCCAATCTTTTGTTGGTGGCATCGGACTCAGATGATGAAAATGAACGTGCGTCAGTCCACACTGCTTTGGATTGTTATTGAGCAGAACTGTTCATTAGCATGGAAGCATGTATTCTGGAATGGTGGGCGAAGTATGAAGGGACATATGAATCTTTACCACCTCTGGCACATAAATACCTTGCGACACTGGCTACAACAGTGCCATGAGAACACCTATTCTCACTTCCAGGTGACATTGTAAACAAGAAGCAGTTTAGGTTGGACATTAGGAAAAACTTCCTAGCTGTCAGAGTTGTTAAGCACTGGAATAAATTGCCTAGGGAGGTTGTGGAATCTCCATCATTGGGGATTTTTAAGAGCAGGTTGGACAAACACCTGTCAGGGATGGTCTACTGGTCCTGCCTTGAGTGTAGGGGACTGAACTAGATGACCTCTCGAGGTCCCTTGCAGTTTGATGATTCTATGATTATCTCCTGAAAATGTAAACAGACTTGTTTGTCTGAGCAATTGGCTGAAGAAGTAGGACTGAGTGGACTTGTAGGCTCTAAAGTTTTACATTGTTTTGTTTTTGAGTGCAGTTATTTTTTGTACATAATTCTACATTTGTAAGTTTAACTTTCATGATCGAGATTGCACTACAATACTTGTATTAGATGAATTGAAAAATACTTTTTTTACAGTGCAAATATTTTTAATAAAAAATAAATATAAAGTGAGCACTGTACACTTTGTAATCTGTGTTGTAATTGAAATCAATATATTTGAAAATGTAGAAAACATCCAAAAATATTTAAATAAAAGGTATTCTATTCTTAACAGAGCAATTAATCACATGATTAATTTTTTTAATCGCTTGACTGCCCTAATAAAAATGTTTAAATCCTTCAAATGCTTCATCTGTTGTATTGCTAAACTGCAAAATTACTTTCAGTTTAATAACCTAGTAAATAATTCTGTCCATGTAAGAAGTTCTTCTGCTATTTGGAATCCAGGGTCAATGTCTAGTTTGGTAAATAAAAATAAAATGTAGTTGATTTTAATTTTCCTGTCAACTCGGGTCCGTTAATTTAATTGAAACAAGCAATGTTTCCAGCTTCCAGAGGAAGCATCCAGGCTGGGCAGCTCTTCCAGTGCCCCAGACTGTGTAGTACAACTTCCTCTAGGTCAGAGGTTCCAAAGTTGTGCCCACAGAACTTCAAGGGAAGGGGCCTGCATTGAATTGAAAAGCCTGCGAGCTATGCTGAAAGGCTGAGCAGCACTTTTAAAAATTACCCTTAATGAGAGTGCATGAGCAACTAAGGAAGGTTGCAGCATTTGCTAAAATTCTAATAAAGTTGCCATGTGCTTGGATCCTCACAGGGGGCAATGCATATCCTCCCAGAGGAAGCTCAGGGTGGTTTTGTCCTCAGGAGCTAGAGTACTGCATTGCTGGAGGCCACTTACACCCTTGATCGACTGAGCTCCCTAGCCAGAAGGGCAAGTGTCCAAATTGTACCATCCCTTGGAATCAGGCAGCCTGTCCAGTCAGGCATGGATAGGAAGTGGGCCCATGGCCCTGATTCCTCCTTACCCCTCTCACCACTTTTGGGCTGATTTGCAACTTTGGGGATGCAGGGAGAGAGCAATCCCTGCATTCCCTGAATGCAGCGATCATGATGGGCCCTGGCCCTTGCATAGGATGTTCCCTGTGCCTTCCACAATCTGTGCATTCACATTAGGGCTAAGGACAATCTGGTCCTAGAATGGTCCTTGGAAAAAGTAAAGTGCATGAAATAGCAGAGCATACACACACGACTCAGTGTGACTCAAGCAACACCCCTGCCCTTCATACATAGTATGGTATTTTATAATGCTTTTCTATAATGAATAAAGACGTTGTAGGAGGTGTGTTACAGCAGTTTTCAATGTGCATGTCTTGTCAGTGGAATGACTTACTATTCCATTGGAAAGAAGACAGATTAAGGAGCACGCAGATTTCTTAGTGGTTTGGAATTTGGTATATAATTCTGGAAGAGCACCTTTAAGCCTTTAGGGGTGGTGTGCAGCATCCAGCATGATTGAAATGTGGAAATCTACATAGAACATTGCACCCAGAGTGCTGATTGAAGCACCCAGAGTGCTCATTGGAACACTCAGGGTACGTCTTCACTACCCGCCCATCCAGCAGGTAGTGATCCATCTATCGGGGATCGATTTATCACGTCTCGTCTAGACGCGATAAATCGATCCCTGAATCGACGCCTGTACTCCACCTTGGCAGGAGGAGTAAGCAGAGTCTACGGGGGAGCCACTGTGGTCAACTTGCTGCCGTGAGGACGGCCAGGTAAGTCGAACTAAGGTACTTCAACTTCAGCTAGGCGAATAACGTAGCTGAAGTTGCGTATCTTAGTTCGAACACCCCCCACCTAGTGTAGCCCAGGCCTTAGAGTGGTATTCTTTCAACAAAGAAATTTCTCCTTTTAGTTATTTCTCATTCAATGCCAGTAAATATACATGTTTTCCCAAATAAGAATTCAGTGATAATTGCTAATAGAATACCAATATATATTTGGTCATTGTAACATCTGAACAGTTCCTTACATATTTCTCAGTACTGTGATAAATGTTTTTAGAATATTGTGTTTTAGGGCTATTTATATGTATTGCAAAGTTGCTTCTGGCTCTAAATTTGCATCAAAGTAAATAATGCCACAAATGTCACCAGTCTCCTAAAACAAGTGAATGGGAGGGAATTTTAATGTAATAAGTAGGGCTGTCAAGCGATTAAAAAAATTATTCATGATTAATCGCACCGTTGAACAATAATAGAATACCATTTACTTAAATATTTTTGGATGTTTTCTACATTTTCAAATATATCAATTTCAATTACAACACAGAATACAAAGCTCACTTTATATTAATTTTTTGATTACAAGTATTTGTACTGTAAAAAAGCCCAAAAGAAATAGTATTTTTCAATTCACAAGTACTGTAGTGCAATCTCTTTATCATGAAAGTTGAACTTACAAATGTAGAATTATGTAAAAAAATAACTGCATTCAAAAATAAAATAATGAAAATTTTAGAACCTGCAAGTCCACTCAGTCCTACTTCTTGTTCAGCCAGTTACTCAGACAAACAAGTTTGTTTACATTTGCAGGAGATAATGCTGCCCGCTTCTTGTTTACAATGTCACCTGAAAATGAGAACAAGCGTTATCGTGGCACTGTTGTAGCTGGTGTTGCAAGATATTTACATGCCAGATGCACTAACGATTCATATATCCCTTCATTCTTCAAACACCATTCCAGGGGACATGCGTCCATGCTGATGATGGGTTCTGCTTGATAACAATCCAAAGCAGTGCAGACCGACACGTGTTCATTTTCATTATCTGAGTCAGATGCCACCAGCAGAAGGCTGATTTTCTTTTTTGATGGTTCAAGTTCTGTAGCTTCCGCATCGGTGTGTTGCTCTTTTAAGACACATGAAAGCATGCTCCATACCTTGTTCCTCTCAGGTTTTGGAAGGCACTTCAGATTCTTAAACCCTGAGTCGAATGCTGTAGCTATCTTTAGTAATCTCACATTAGTACCTTCTTTGTGTTTTGTGAAATCTGCAGTGAAAGTGTTCTTAAAATGAACAACATGTGCTGGGTCATCATCCGAGACTGCTATAATATGAAATATATGGCAGAATGCAGGTAAAACAGAGCAGGAGACATGCAGTTCAGTCACAAATTTAATTAATGCATTGTTTGTTTTTTTAATGAGCGTCATCAGCATGGAAGCATGTCCTCTGGAATGGTGGCCAAAGCATGAAGGGACATACGAATGTTTAGCATATCTGGCAGGTAAATACCTTGCCGTGCCAGGTACAAACATACCATGCAAATGCCTGTTCTCACTTTCTGGTGACATTATAAATAAGAAGAGGGAATCATTCTTTCATGTAAATAAGCGATTGGCTGAACAAGAAGTAGGACTGTGTGGACTTGTAGGCTCTGAAGTTTTACATTGTTTTTGAGTGCAGTTATGTAACAAAAAAAATCTACATTAACAACAAAGAGATTATACTACAGTACTTGAATGAGGTAAACTGAAAAATACTATTTCATTTATCATTTTTACAGTGCAAATCTTTGTAATCAAAAATAATATACACTGATTTCAATTATAACACAATACAATATCTATGAAAATGTAGAAAAACATCCAACATATTTAATAAATTTCAATTGATATTCTACTGTTTAACAGTGTGATTAAAACTGCGATTAATCGTGATTAATTTCTTTAATCGCAATTAATTTTTTTTGTTAATCGCATGAGTTTACTGTGATTACTTGACAGCCCTAGTAATAAGGCTGAATCTTGTGTGGAGAAGATTATTTCAAAGGATCCATCCCTTAGCTTTCTGATTTTAATTATACATAACTTTCACAAAGGTAGAAGACTGTTGTTAATACTTTAAGCTTAGGCTCTTTAATCCTCTCCAGAACTGAGAGCTCAGACGCCGTTTCTCTTGTCACACTTTCAGTTTCTTAAAAAGATAAGTACAAACTAATTTTTTGTTTATTTTCAGACAAATGTAAACCAGATGAGCTTTGTGAACGCCGCAGATACCGATCACCACCGGCATATGTGGATGCTGCTTTCATTTTGGATAGCTCACAGAAAATGAGTGGTGCCGAATTTGAGAACGTGAAAAACTTCTTGAGCAGAGTACTTGATAACTTTAACATTTCCTCTGAGCCAGAGACTTCTTCCACAGGTGATAGGGTGGCTGTGGTGAGCCATGCTCCTCCAGGTTTCAAACCCCGCCCAGGGAGGAGCCCTGTAAAGAAAGAGTTTGACTTTGTTGCCTACAGCAGTAGACCGTTAATGAAAAGACATATCCGACAATCTGTTCAACAGTTGAATGGAGCAGCTGCTCTTGGCCATGCCATACAGTGGACAATTGATAATGTTTTCTTAACTGCACCCCACTCCAGACAACACAAGGCTATCATTGTTATATCTGCTGGAGAAACAAGTCAGTGGGATAAAGAAATATTAAAGAAGGCATCTCTGAGAGCCAAGTGCCAAGGATATGCTCTGTTTGTAATTTCATTAGGACATGTATATAACGACAAAGAGTTGGAAGAGCTGGCTAGTATTCCCCTGGAACATCATTTGGTTCAGCTGGGCAGAGTTCACAAGCCTGAACTTGAATATGTAGTGAGGTTTATGAAACCGTTTGTGCATCTCCTCAGGCGTAAGTTATTATGTTAATGCTGTTTCATTGTTCTTCAGTGAATGTCCAACAACTCATGAAAAAGGTTAGGTTGATAACCTTGGACATTAGTCTTCCATAGATTCACAAATGTGTTTAGCATGGAGACTTCAATGGAAGTTTCCCATTCCAAAGTCCCTCAGTTCTGTCCTCAGTGGATCAACTTGAATACTTAAGGGGTGAAAGAGTGGTTCAATTCCATGCTTGTTCATTCCTAGGGCTGTCTAATAAGACTATCAACACTGGTGATCTCAATAGGTTTTATGATGGGGAAATCTCTCTACTAGGAATTGAACTAAGGCCACCAACCTTATTTCACATAGACCACCTAACAACTGTCAGATGGCAGTGACTTTAGGTCACTTCTAGCTTCTGCCACAGTTTGGACCAGTGATCTAGGCTGAGGGCTTGATATCCTATTATCGGTTCCCTGGGCCTTCCATTTATTCAATAAACAGGAAAAAACGCTGACCTAGTAGTAGATCAACACAGTGATATGTCAGAAGGTTGGTTGTGTTCTTGGATCACTTGACTAAACATCAGAAGAACCTGCAGATGGGGGATGTATGTAGTACAATCTATGCTGCTTACACATCACAGCAGCCCTTGTAGACTCATTGATGGAATGATACTGGAGGAGAATTCAAAGCATAATTGGACAATTATCCTGAAGTCCTTACCTTAACATAGACAAATTTTGAATTATTTTTAGATCCCTAGGCAAAAGTAAGCCTTTGAGAAAGACTGAATTGCAAGGGTGAGAGAACAAATATACTATAAACTAATCATAGCTTGTAATAGCATTATGGTGTGAATGTGTCTAAACAATGGTGCCTATGCATAAAGAAACAGAAGGTATTTAAACTGAGTTTGCCAATAGGCCTGTTCTCATTCTCTTATTGAACCAGTGAACTATAAGAAATGTTGTAATTAATGTATCAAGATTACTTTTAAAGGTTAAGCATACTAGAGAGTTGCACACTTGTTACTTCTGTAGGCCAAGCACATTACCCACACCAGGAGCATCTTGCATTCCTCCACCCTTCACACAGGATCCCTGTGTACCACCATCCTATTTCAGAAACTCCCTGCAATCCCCCTCCTTCATACCAGGAGCTCTCATGTCAGGGGCTGCATGTGCCCCCATGCCACAGTTCTGATTCTCTCTCTCTCTCTCGTCAGTATTTTAAAACTGAATTGGGAGGATGGGCAGACCTGAGATGGGGGTGGGTGTTATGATAGAAAGCGTTAATGGCAGCCATCAAGTAGTTCTTTGATTTGTAGACAATTACAGAGATGCTTGAAGCTTCTAGGTCTACAATCAGATGCCAGGGGCTATGTGTCATTCCCCCCCCCTTCTGATTTTCACCAAAATCAATAGAATTCTTCCCACTGATGCCTAGATAAATCCATGGAGGATAGGTCCATCAATGGCTATTAGCCAGGATGGATAGGGATGGTGTCCCTAGGCTCTGCTTGCCAGAGGCTGGGAGTGGGTGGCAGGGAATGGATCACTTGGTGATTGTCTGCTCTGTTCATTCCCTCTGGGGCACCTGGCATTGGCCACTGTCAGAAGACAGGATATTGGGCTAGATGGACCTTTTGTCTGACCCACTATGGCCGTTCTTACGTCTCGACCATTCCCTGAGATTTTGGAATCGCTTGGCTGTGACATCCAAAAGTTATTGTGTTACATCAAACAGAAATACCATCAAGCTGAGAATAAGCCCTTGCAAGCTCTGACAGTAATTTGTCTTACTGCTTTCAGTATTTAGTACAACCGTGCTGGGTGAATGAAGATACGTGGGGGCAGAAGAGGAAAAATTGAGTGAAAACTGTTTCAAATTGCATTGAGTTGGTACATTTTGTTACTATGTCTTGTTTTCTTGACAGGTGCAATCAACAAATATCCACCAGTACAGCTCAGGAGAAGTTGTACCAGAGCTGCCTCTCAGAAACCAGAATATGCACGAAGGGGCCAAGAACATGTGTGAGTCCAGACACTTATTTTATGATGACTTGTTATATATGGGCAAATTGATGAGAGCACCTAGTTCTCCTGGGTAGGGATTCCTACCAAAGGTCCTGAACCTGCAAACGCTCACAGATGTGCTTCACTTTATGCATGTGAGTAGTTGTGCTGGGCAGTAATTTCATATTCTGCCATCAAAATTATCAGTCATTTAAAAAAAAATTGAAAACTACAGAATTGTAACAAAGATTTTAAAACTTATCATTAAAACGAGATACAAAATTCTCCTCCTGCCTGATTGCTGTTTGTCTTGCAGAGCTCATTTGTGCAAAGCACCATCTGCCCCAACACCAATGGTTGGTTGATTTGGGGATACATATGGTTTCAGCTCTTAGGGCTTGTCCACCTGAACATTTAGTTTGCAGCAGGCTGTGGTGTAAATCTGACTTTCACTAGCCTGCTGCAGCACACTAACAGTTCCTTAGTGTGCTTTCAGCTACTCTCTAAGTGCACTTGTGCATAGCAGCAGGGTCTACACAGATACCTACTGCAGGACAGGGTAGATTCATACCCCAGCTTGCTACAAATCGTGAAGACGAGCCCTTATTGAAATCTGAATACCTCTGTTCCTGGGAGGTTGAGTTAAGACTGGAACATAAGGAAAAGGGCAGACATTGAAATAGAGGAAGTTAGCAAATACCAGCTATTTTTGAGTCCTCCTGCCAGGGCAAAATGTTTCCTGTTCTTTTATTCCCAGTGCTATCATAGATGACAGTTGGTCAGGAGGTGATGCCATAGCTGATGCTGAATACGCTGTTTCTGGGCATGCAACACTAATGTTCCAGGATGACAAAAGTGATGGTTCTCTAAACACCAACAGTTTTGCCAGCAGTACACATCAGTCCATGGTAACTACAGACATAATGGAGAATGCTGCCAAAACAAACGGAAGGAAAGATAACGTGAGTTATGTCTGAGGTAAGGAAAGGAAGGGGGATGTCTGCATAAACCTCACGGAGCAGGATGGACAGTTTAACCTTTGGAACCCTATGGATGACTTCGCACCTCCTTAGACAATTCAGCTGAGGGAAAGGAGCCAAATATACCAGCTCTTCTCTGTCGCCTCCTCCTCTTCCTGCCATCAAACTAACCTCTTTTCTGCCCTCTGTAGACTCACTGAGTCCGCACCAGCATGACAGGAAGAGGACCCCTACACAAGCAGGCAGAATTTCCTGTTGCCACTCGCTTTCTCCGTCAGGTAGCCTCAAAGCACAGAGCTGTTTCATGGCTTCAGGCCCATTCTAAGCTAACTTCAGCTACACATGATCCTCTTAGTCGCCCTCCTGTGGCTCTTTCCCAACATGAGCCTCTTATGTGGCTCACCCATGGCCTCCAATTACCCCAAACCCCGATATTCTCACTGAAACAAGCACCCTCCGTAAAATCTTAAGACCTGGTCCATCTGAACTGTTTTGATTAATATTAATCACGATCATGTTCAAATAATACAAAGCAAGAATTCCTAGGCTCCTGTATTATAAACCCAACGAGGATTTTGGTTGGATCTGCAGCCACTACAGAGTTTATCGGTCATCAGCACATTCTGTTCTCAGAATGCTGTGAAGAGAGCTGCATATAAAGGCTCATGGATAAATATTATGGCAGTTAGAAGAAGTGGAAATAAAAATATTCTTGTAAAATATCTAGCAAATTGAAAAGCAAATGGCTAGCATTCACTACTGCTTTCAAGCTCCCTTAACTACAGTGCTTAGCACTTACACAGCACGTTTCATCTGCGGGTCTAAAATGCTCTACAGGAGCAAAGACTGTGATCTCCTATTAATGGATGGGGAAACAGAAGCCCACAGAGGTTAAGGCTCACATTTTCTAAGTTGGCTGCCTGAAGTTAAGCACCTAAATAAGTGACCTAATTTTCAGAGGTACTACACATCCACCGCTCTGAGTGATGTGTTTCTGAAATATTTTTGTTTCCTTTATGGCCCTTGCATAGCTTTTGAAAATAGCTGTAGAGATTTCCCTGGAATGCAGTGTCAGGTACAGTTGTGATGGGGATTGAATGGATGCACATTTGCAACTGCGTCTCTACTATGCAGCACACGTGCATCAGCTTTCTCTGCTCTTATTAGTTTTAGATGCTCTTTTGCTGTGTAGCGCTTATTCACATCCTCAGACATCTCCCCTATCCCCATGATGGATCTAGTCCATTGGTTTTGTTCTCAGAGGTGGAAAGCCTACCCATAATTCCACACTTCTGGCAACTGCAGAAGCAGCATATGTCGTTTGGGGGGATTGGGCTCAGTCTGAGGGAGAGTGAGGGCACTAACAGAGCCACTGCATTGGGCCATCTTGCTGCTCCTCCTGGCTGAGGCAAGACTGGCTCCGTCAGCTGGCTCGAGATTTGTTCCCATCCTGGCCTTCTGGAGAGGCACCACAGCACGTGCTCAGGCTGTGGCAAGAGGCCAAGAGTTGGCCATCAGTCCCTGGTTTGAAAAGATACACTCTACCTTAATACAATGCTTAGGGGGGGAAAAGAAAAGCAATGGTATTGAAAACAAGTCTTTTTTCAGTCCTCTGTATGGACAGTCTCATCCTAAAGAAAGGGCACTTTGGGTTTTTGTTTTATAGATGGCTGGAACCAAAGCGTTTTAAACAATGAAATGGTTAAATATGGCACTGGGCTGAAGAAACTAACTGCTGCATGGTTCTGACCTGTAAAAATTCCCATCTCTGCCTCCTACAATGGTTTATTGGTGGAAATCATGGAAGAAATGTGGACATGATCTGTCAGATACAGAATCATTTTATTCCTTGAAAAATGGACAAGAGTATGTTAAACTTGAATATATCTATCCATATGCACGTAGGGTCTGCTCCTGTATAGTACTGAATGTGCTCAACTCCCAATCACTTGAGTGGAAGGTGAGGGCACTTGAAAATTAACAGGGTCAGGCCCTTGAGGAACTGTCTAGTCTCCAGGTCAGTTGTGCTTTGTTGGAGTTGGCTGGCAAGAATTGAGGTATGAACATGTGTAACACTCTCCTCTTTCAATGCAGTGCAAATTCTTCTCAGTGAAACTTTATTTTCCATACTCCTTTTACAGGTGTAAGTTGCATTTTGTAAAGATAGGAAGGCGGCTTATTAGTCACTGCTGTGCTTTTCCAGGTAGAGTAACTGTGCAATTGGTGACTGAATTACTTCCTTTAGACCAAGGGGCACTCTAAAAGAACAGTGTCTCTTTAACATGGAGCATCTAGTCTGCCTTAAAACAAAACAAAAAAAAACCAAGGTCATAAGCATAGGGCTTGTAAAAAAATACTTCCCCATGTAAGTTTTTTCCATCAGAAAATTTCAATTCCATGGAATGTCTCTATTCCATCATAAGTTTTGATGGAAACCAAGCAGAGTGGCTGCTGATGGTCCTTTTACAGGTGTTAAGTTGCTAAATGAAATTTAGTTTCATATGCCACAATATACCAAGTTTCAGACTGATGTGATGTCAAATAGTCACCAAAAACATTGCAACATCCAGGTTTGTTGTACATTTACAAAGCTTCATTTCAGTGTTAGTACACAGACATCTAAAAATAGACAGCATACATATACAGTAGCTCATTGCATTTTAACTGGGACGTTAAGTACTTTAAGCAGGTAGTGAGCCCATCAAACTATCCTTCCCATATTACTGAAGCGTTGCTAGTTACTCTTGGAGTAAACTCTTGAACCTAGAATTATGTTGTGCCAATTGTGGAAGAGAAGAGATATTGGTTAAATGTATTTTTTTCTGTGTATCTTATTCCAAAAAGGAAAATTTTAAAATTTAAACAAAACTACTCAAATCCCTGGGGATATACGCTACTGGCTTTAGTGGGATCAGGCTTTGAATATCCGTGCACTCCAAGGAATAAAAGTCCCATTTCTCAAACTCTTATGACCAGGCATAGGTGACTCTTCACAGTAATAAGCATGCCTGATAGTCATTGTTCAAAGCTACAGATCCCAAATTCTTTGCAATTTAGACCAGTTTTTGGTCCAGAGATTAGCATAAATATTTTACATTCTTCTGACTTAAGACTACACCTGAGAATTACCTTTTTTAGGAAAAAGAGGTACTGCTGAGTGAGTGAGTGTGCAAAAAACAGTACTTTGACATTAGGAATTGAAGAGAGATTTGCTGAAACTGTCACTGTTGTCTGGCAACACAAATCTGTTAGTGGTGAGCCAAAATTCAGATCCTCATGTCCCTCCAACTAGCACAGCTGAAGTCAACAAGACTTCTCATAAGAGTATGAAACACATAATTTGGGGCTACAGTACAAAATACTATGCATTATTTCTAAGAGTCACATGCACATATTGCATTGTATACAGAGTTCAGATCTGGTTAGTGGTTTCACCCTTCTAGTTTTAAAGTTGCCATGCTTGCCTCGGGTTTTTTTTGTTTGTTTTTTCAAAAAATATATCCGTTACCTCTAATTGGTGAAAGACATTTAAAAACTGTATGGGGACAGTTTGTAAAATGTACCTTCTGTCACTATGGTGGCATTATACTGAGCTTTAATGCATGTTATGCAACATGTCATGGTACCAATTAAACTATCTACCTGAAACTTCAGATGGTGTCTTGTTTCATGTGATCATAATAGCTAAAAATAATACTCAGTGCTATTCCCATCAAGCCTTCTGTGTTAAGAATAAGACACGATGCAGTGATCATGATGGGAGATTCTTGTATGTAAGTAATGACTTGTAAAGGAACAAGAGACTAAATTGCTTGCTCATGATGTACCTAAAAACTTCCTGCTGCCTGGATATAACAATCGTATCTGTTTTGTGCAAGAAAAAGTGTATAATGGAATAAGAAAACATTATGCATCACTCATTCTGTGGCTTATGCATTCATTTACAGCGGGGGGGAAGGTAGCAAGAAGTGCTTAAATATTTTTTTCCCTGCACAATACCACTGGGCTTTCAGTCCTCTTTTATATAACATGCTCAAATAAATGACATTTGCCTGCAAGCAGAAGCCTGGCAGGTTTCAAGGTTCAACACACCATAGACGTAAAGGGACACTAGATATTGCAGACAAACTACTGTACAAGTAAGCTCAAATGGAGTTTATTCTCTAACTTTATATTTATCAGAGTATACATGGACATTAGTGCAACAAATTCTTTCACTCTTCTTCCAGATCCAACGTAAAAAAAGTCAGACTTCATAAATACTGTTTATGTAGGAGTCAGCAGCTTTCATTATGTTTATAATCTGCAACATGAGATTTCATAAACTATTTTCTCATAGGTTCCTGAAGAATAGTATGGTTACCACAAGGCTAAATACAATTTCTTCATAAACAGCTTCTGCTTGTTACTTTCAGAAAGTGCTGCAGAAACCAAGCAGCTGTAATATGATAACTCAAAGGGCCTTTAAACAAGCTTTAATAACCATAGTGATTGATGTATGGTCACCTTCGTATTCTTCAAAATCAGTATAGTACTATTCTTTGTTACAAATATTTACATACTATATACTAGTGCAACTTTTACTTCCATACTTTAACAATTCCATCTCTTGATGCAGTTACTATAAACCCTTGAGTAGTCTGGAAAGTAGCAATATCTGTGATGATATCATGGTGTCCAACTGGTAGAGACTCTGGTCCGCGACGAGGGGTCTCATCTGTGGGGCCCATCTTCTGCTTGTTTTGAATTTCCTGTTTGAGAGTAGAAGTATTAAAATAAAACAAGTATGCAAAATTACATACATTTAAAAGATGATGTTTCATACTCTGGCAAAGTAGAAAGACTATTAAAAAAATCAACATAAGTTGTCTTTTGCCAGAAGTTCTCCTCCTATTACTGAAGAGGGTGGGGGTAAGAGCCCTCTTCATTCACCATCTAGCTTCTTGATTCTGCACTGAAGTCATAATTCTGTACTAGTGATTAGGGAAACACTGGTGTGCCAAACTCATTACAACTTCAGTAAAGGAAAAGCTAAAAAGAGAAAATGTATGCTTAGTCGTCCTCATGGAAAAATCCTAGTTCAGATCTGTTCATTTAAACATTCTAGATGTAGCAGGGATATCATTTATGTTTAACTTTATAGAAAGGATATATTCAAAATCTACAGATTTTTATAGTAATCTCTAGAGAATTCAACCAGTTTTGTCCTAATTGTATAGGACTTTTCCATAAGGGAAAATTCTCTCAAAATTGGCATACAGAGATGAAATTCTATTTAAAAAAAAAAAAACCCTTGGCAACTGATTTTACATATTAAGGAAATATGTAAAAATGCCTCCTTAGAAGAAGATTCTAAAATAGCATTTATTCAATTAAATAATCAATACAAAACATTACAATGCCATATTTAAATTAGTAAAGCTGCAAGTACCAAAGGTCACTTTGAGGGACACAATCGCAGCAGAATTCTGAAATGAAAACATTCTTGTACTTTTCTGATATGGTTTAAGTTGTGCTCCATTTATTTGTTCCTTATGGCATAATTAAAGTGTACTTACAGCATTGCATAAATAACTAATACAGTACTCAACTTCTAACTGCAGGACAAATTCCACACTAACTGGGTAACAGCCGGCAGTGGAAATGCCTCAGTGACGGGCAAGCCAAAATATTAAATTGTTAAATCACTGAGTTTCAGGATCACAAAAGTCATCCCAAGATATCAGGCTTCCCCCACTGAATACTATCTGGTGGTATTGTTTGTCAAAAGCAAGTTCTGCCTCTAAAATGTAACTCACTGACTGAAATCCTCGATCCAGAGAAGAGGTAAGGCACAGGTGCTAGCAATGAGAGCATCCCTACCATCATACTGGTGTAACTTGAACTCTGGCCTGGACAGGCAATAAAAACAAAAACCAAACAGGATACCTGAACCACCTCTGTGCCTTCAATTATCTTCCTGTAGTAGGATACAGATGGGCAAGTAGCACTTCCTGCAACAATGTACGATCTCTCAGGATAAGCCATTTCCCAAAACCTAAGAGAGGAAAAAACAAAAAAAAACAAAACACACACAACCCAAAAAACAAACAAACATACATGATAAATGCTTAATGCTGCTTAAACCTCACTACGATTGTGTAAGAGCCTTCTTGCCCTTAAGGTAAAATTCAGTTAGCCCAGACTTTACAGAAACATTGAATGGAAGATTTCAGAGTAGCAGCCGTGTTAGTCTGTATCCGTAAAAAGAGAAGGAGGACTTGTGGCACCTTTAGTCTAAGGTGCCACAAGTCCTCCTTTTCTTTTTATTGAAGGGAAGAGTTATAGGTTATAAATATGGAAAATCAAAGTTAATATCACATTTACTCACAAGGCATCACTAACTGCTGCTTCCAGCATAGCATATCAAGCACTTTACAAAAGGTGGGTATTATTTCAGTTTTGCAGACGGGAAAAGTGAGATGCGGGAAGTTAAAAGCCCTGGCCTGATATAACAGGCAGCAGCAATGAGGAATAGAACAGAGAGCACAGCTCTCTTGACTGTGGAAAAAGCGAACATTCAATTTCACAAACTTCTAAGCTTGCACTGTGAGGGGGTGGGTTAGTAAAGATGTGATGGGTTTTAAAAAATCTAAAAAGAGATTCCTCAGACTATTTTTACCTTATTTTCATGTCTGAACCTGCAGTCAGTAAGATGGGATTTCCATCTGCAGGACTACAGTATATTCCATGAACACTGTGAGGCGAAGGCTAATGGGGGAAAATGCAAACATGTTACTATCTCCAAAAACATTTTTGTACTAAATTACTAATTTATGTTGTCATGCTTCACAAAACAAGACCGGCATCAAATCATAGAATATCAGGGTTGGCAGGGACCTCAGGAGGCCATCTAGTCCAACCCCGTGCTCAAAGCAGGACCAATCCCTAACTAAATCATCCCAGCCAGGGCTTTGTCAAGCCTGACCTTAAAAACTTCTAAGGAAGGAGATTCCACCACCTCCCTAGGTAACGCATTCCAGTGTTTCACCACCCTCCTAGTGAAAAAGTTTTTCCTAATATCCAACCTAAACTTCCCCCACTGCAACTTGAGACCATTACTTCTTGTTCTGTCATCTGCTATCACTGAGAACAGTCTAGATCCATCCTTTTTGGAACCCACTTTCAGGTAGTTGAAAGCAGCTATCAAATCCCCCCTCATTCTTCTCCTCTGCAGATTAAACAACCCCAGTTCCCTCAGCCTCTCCTCATAAGTCATGTGTTCCAGCCCCCTAATCATTTTTGTTGCCCTCCGCTGGACGCTTTCCAATTTTTCCACATCCTTCTTGTAGTGTGGGGCCCAAAACTGGACACAGTACTCCAGATGAGACCTCACCAATGTCGAATAGAGGGGAACGATCACGTCCCTCGATCTGCTGGCAATGCCCCTACTTATACAGCCCAAAATGCTGTTAGCCTTCTTGGCAACAAGGGCACACTGTTGACTCATATCCAGCTTCTCGTCCTCTGTAACCCCTAGGTCCTTTTCTGCAGAACTGCTGCTTAGGCATCTTGTACAATAGTGACTCAATTACAGACAGGCAACTTATTTGTAAAAAGTTGCCTTTTGTTTCATGACAAACATGAAGTGTGGTGTTTTGGTGTCTTGGTAAATGGTCAGATCTTAAATATATAGAGGTAAACATCATTTCTTTTTTTTGTTCCTGTTCACAAAGCAACGCAAGAGAAACTAACTCTTCCTACACTTCAAATGAGAGATGACAAAAAATTCTCTGACATTTCCATAGAGATGTTCTCAGCTGAGTAAAATTAGGGTAATTATCTCTTACAGAATTGGGTAAAATGAGTAAGTTGAAAAGCACATTGATACACATAAAGTCTTGATGTCCTGGCAGTTCCAAGATTATAGGAACCAGCATAACAGGTTGCCAGTTAACTGAATCACAAAAATCTCCGTTATGAAAAGCTATCATTACACAGGAGACACAAGGTGGATGAGGTAATATCTTTTATTGGACCACCTTGTCGCTTGAATTATCCTGGGATCAACATGGCTACAACCACCCTGCGAACTATTTAAGATCCCAACAGTGAAGGGAACCTAGGGCTTTTATTTAGGAGAGAGAGAGGTCATTTAACCAAGTACAGCATATACTGCAATCTGAATGTTTAACATTTATTAAAAAGGGGGGGTTAGTGATATTTTTTTGCTTGAAGGTTTTTATTTTATTTTATTTGGTTTTGCACTCACTGCTAGATATGGAGGTGCCTCTGACTTATGAGCAACAGTGAAAAAAGCATGTGCGTATTGCTCCGTATGAAGGTATATTTTCTCTATTTAATGCTAACTGCTAAACACAGTGGTGCGTTTACTCTCTAAAGGGAAAGTGCAACAGAACAGAGGTACTGTGATCACAGGAACAACATTTAAAAGTCATTATGTTATGAACAGACCCAAACACAATACTATGAATTTGCCATTTTGGGAAAGATCTTTACAGTTAACATCACAGCACAGATGGTTGCTTAGTTTGTTTTGTG